TTCTCTACAAGCTACATGGATTAAAATACTTTTCCAAAATAGATCTCAAAGGTGCTTATTATCAGATTCCTCTTGACGAAGCTTCTAGTGCACTAATAACCATTTAAACACCATTTGGACTGTTCAAACAGGCATAACATCTTGCCTTTTGGTTTAAAGGCAATATTTCAGAAAGTAATAAATCAGATGATAGATGGTGTTGAATCTTACCAAGATGACATAATAGTCCATGGACCGAACATCAAAATGCACAATGAATGTCTTTTAAAACTGTTCAGGCGTTCCTATGAGAACAACATTCTGGTTAATGTCTAAATACCATTCTACTTTGTCATCCGTATCATGCTTAGGATACACAGTAGACTCCGAGGGTTTCAGAACTGATGCTAGTCGTTTAGCACCTCTAATTCGAGCACCTTCACCTAATAATATGTCGTCATCGAGATCTTGGATTGGTACTACTCAGTTTTACTCCAGATTCATCCCTAATTTCACTCAACTGTTATCTCCACTTTTTAATATTGTCTCCAGTAAACAATTTAAGTGGGAACAACAACATGAAGATATCTTGCGAAAAACTTTGGAGTTTCTTAATAAACAAGCTTTCTTAAGACCTTTTTCATCGAAAGATAAGTCCGTTCTCACTACAGATGCTTCTCCTACGGGCATAGCTGCAATACTTGAGCAAAATGGACAACCTGTTATTTGTATTTCAAGACGTCTAAGTGAGAGTGAACAAAGGTACTCACAAACCCAGAAAGAGGCTCTAGCAGTTGTATGGGCAATAAGACGCTTGCACAAGCATCTCTTTGGTACAAAGTTTCACATAGTTACTGATCATCAGGCTTTGAAATTCACTTACAATCCAGAAAAATATTTGAATAGATCATCTGCTGCTATAGTTCAAAGATGGAGTTCAGAACTAAGTGCATATGATTACACTATTGAACACAGATCGGCTAAGGATTGACTTCATGCAGACTTCTTATCTCGTTATTCATTATTTGGAAATCCTGCTAATGACACTGATTGTTTCTTAGTCCAGCCGTTACCTGTGGATAGAGTTCGACTAATACACGATACTCGGAAATATTACGGGAGCATTTTAAGTGCAACAAAAAGAGGTTGGAATATTCAGTGAAAGCGAAGATTTCCGGACTTTTCAGTCCATCATGAAGGAGTCCTATGTTTGAATGACAGAATTATTATTCCTCCGACATTAAGATCTGCGATTTTGGATTATTTCCATTCTGTTCACCTACAAGCTGATAAGATGAAATCATTAGCACACCTAACGTGTTGGTGACATTAGTAAACGATCAAAGAGGTGTTCCAGCTATTTGCATAAACCGTCCTCATCGACTGCGATGGTTAGGACATGTGCTAGGCATGCATGACGAGTCATCGCCTTCCTCGACAATGGGTAATGTTAGCTGACATAGGATCAGGCTGGAAAAGAGCCAGTGGTGGTCAAACCAACACATGGCTTCATTAGGCAATGAAATTTACTATAGTTAGTTTAAACCCGCCAGCCAGCCACGTAGGAATGTGTAGACTTCTTGGTTGAGGTCCTCGGGACGGTAGAAACCAATGAAGACTGGAGGCAATTCCTGATATGTCTGACTCAAAGTGATCGTTCTCAAAGGTTGGCGCAGATGCATCCACTCCTTGTGACTTATAATTTCCAACGAAACTATATTGTTCTTCATTATTACTATTCCTTTTGCCTCATATCTCTATTTACTGTCTCTATTTTGAATTTCATTTTACTTTCTTGTCTTGCTTTGAGGGCTGAGTGAAGTGTGGCGACTCGAACTGCTGCACATCTGTGTTGAAGACAGAGAGACATAAAATGTCCTGTGGAAACCATAGTCTGCGTCTTGTGAGATTTGGCAGCGCATTCATGCGGATTACTGTGATCCATTCTTAAATTCATACTATGCTTTAGTTATTGTGGATTCTTATTCTAGATGGCCAGAACTGATAACAACAGTTAGTCCTAACACGAAATTCGCACACGCAGCTTTAAGGAAGATTTTTAACCGAGATGGAACTCCCTATTTCTTAGTTACTGACAACAGTACTCATTTCACTGAGAAAAACTTCAACGACTGGTTTAAAGATTTACGTTGCCATCATCTGTACACAGCACCACGTCATCCTCAATCTACCGGGTTGGCAGAAAATTGCGTACCAACATTAAAGAGCGCCATAGCATCGATAAGTCCTAAGAGTCATGCACCATTGGATCAGATCCCAGTGGCTTAGTGGTTTAAGACATCGCCTTGTAACCAGAAGGTCCTGGGTTCGAACCTCAGTGGGGTTGATGCGTACTAGTGAAGAGTACCAAACTAGGACGGAACGGCTATCCAGTGCTCTCAGGTTTTCAAATGGTCCTTTAACCCATGTCAGTTCATGATGAAATCCTGAAAGATCTAATTTTGTCAAATAGAAATTTCTAAATTCTCTTCAATCGGTGTTGATATCTGGTTCCCTTTGATTCGGTCCTTATGGAATACTATTACAATAATTTACTTCTGAACTAAGTGTATCTGTTTGCTATTCGGCTTTCATCTATATGGAGTTAGACTATGAACATGAATCGGCACTGATTGACTGAGCTTCAACATAGAACTTTGCCGCAGTTCCAGCTGCCACACACAAAGCAAGATAAGGTAGTTAAGAGAGGTTGGAAACAGAGAGGGATAATAAACAAATGTGAGGCGAAAGGAATAGTTGTATGAAAGAACAGTAGATTTCTATTAGATATGATAAATCACAAAGAGTGAATACATCTGCACCAGCCATCACCAAGAACAATTTCCAGCTAGCGATAACATCAACTATCTCCAGCCTTCATTGGTTCTTACCATTCTGAGGACCCCAATTTAAGAAGTCTGCATCTCCCCAAGTGACTGGCTGGCGGGTTTAAACGAAAAGTTATTGATTTCATTGACTGATGAAGCCATGTTTTGGTTTCACCACCACTAGTGAACTCTTATCTTACCTCATTCATCCTGTCAGCGGTTAACATTACCATTTGGTCGACAGCCAGCCAATCAGATATAACGCCTATCCAATATTACTATTCTTTCCGCCTCATATTTGTGTTTATTATCCCTCTCTTTATTGTTTTCTCCTGCGATGTGTGGTACGTGGAGGTAGTGTGGCAAAGTTCTAAATTGAAACCAGCCAGTTGTTTCGTTATCGGTGCTTACATGCAACGCAAATTTCCTATCTGACTGAGTAATATGGGTTTTTTCGGCTGGATAAGTATTACCTTATAAAAACAACCAGTCCTATATATATATATCATGTTACTGAGTTACATGATCTATCGTAACATAAATACTTACACATGAAAACTATAGTGCACCATACAGTTTTTCATCACGACGAGAAGTCTGGGAGTAACCCTTTCATGTAGGGTACAAACTTAAAATCGAAACCTGTCGGGTGACTTGCGAACTTTCCAATATTTCTATCTCATAGGAATGTGTCAGCCCGACAAGGAGTATAGGTACTATGTACTAGTGTCTCGGCTTCCTAGTCATTTTGAGGAAATGAAAGCGGACTAACTCCACGGGGAGATTTTCGAGAGGAAATACCTACTGACGCACCTACGAAAATTCAGGAAGTGACTCTAAACAAAGAAAAGTAGGAAATGACAAGTAATCATCTCACCGTTAGCATTCCATAAAGGTTTGTCAATGGGATATATCATACCTCTTGTACTTTACGAGTTCATATATACGGTTAGAGCCAGTTATATTATTCAACTTCCTGCAGTTTCCATATGGATTTCGGTTTGTCTAATGACTGATTGGATTATAACTCCATTGAACAAACCTCAGGATGTAATTACCAACACCTACCATACCATACTATATTCAGCATATTCGGTGGAATGTTAATTATGGTAAATCTACTTCGAAGTAAGAATTAGAATGACGTTATTCTTAAAGAAATCAACGATTGGTTCAGTGGTGTCTTGAGGTGAACATGAATTAATCACTCATAGGAACGAAAACACTGGAATGTATATAAATAAGCTATGCCCCAAATAATGCGTTAGCTTAGATGCTTGATATTCTGCCAATCAGTTGGAGGATTGAACAGAGATTAGAGCAGACAGAAAATGGGTGGGACTCAATATTTCTTTTTCATTAGCTAGCACGTCTTTCCTAGTGCACGATCACTACTTCAACCGATTATAGATCAGAGTCGCACGTTTTTTGTTCATTTTAACGGATCTATTTGAAGAAAACATTGCGATACCCTTCAGTTTGTTTTCATAATCTCTGCTTACTACCTATCCGGCTATAAATTGGTCCAAGTAAAGGATGTGCCCTATTCAAAACTATTTAGTTTGATGCGAAAATCAGAACGTCATGACTCATCATTTAAAGATCTCGATCTCAATGCCCAAAACATGGAAGTTGTCGGTGAAGTATATGGGTGTCACCTATGCCGATAAACCGACATCATTGATCGTCTTTTACGGTTCTGCCTTGACGATCATCTATTCCTGGTCAGCACCAACTCAAAATACAACCTAACCTGGAGCCCTCCACGGTTACATCAATGATGGTATCAAATAGACCAAACAGCGTTAAGATACCGATGGAGTGGGACGGTGGGAACCAGTCGTCTCATCCACCCAAAACATGAGACACCACTTACCCTTAAAAACTATTAGGTGCGGGCGTTTACAGTAGGACAGACCACAGGACAAACGCGTATCTTCAAAAATTTATTGTCTAAAGAATTGAATTATACTTCAACATCTAGAAAGGTGAGCACAGCTATGAGAAAGAAATTTAGAAAGCAGTTTTGATTCATGATAAGTGAAGAACTCTTTCAAACCGAAAATTTCAATGAGAAGTGAGAAGCATGCAGTGCAGGATTTTTAATAACCATCAGTTACATGAAAATGCTAGATCTCCAAGAATAGAACTAAATTACAAACTAGCTTTACAATGTATCACTAACTGCGAAGTTTAGGGAGTTGGTTTCTTTGGCAATCTGAAGTCGGCGTATAATTCTTTAAACTTATCAAATCCAGCCAAAACACCAGCTCCGGCAACACCTCGAAGTATGTTGGCACCCGCGCCCTTCATGAAAGACATTGCGCCTTCATTCTTCAATATTTGAGCGGCGCACTGAATTGAGCTTTTGTATTTAACAGCCTGCCCTAGAAAGCACACCAATAATACAGTACAAACACCTTACCTGATGTCATCATCATGCGTCGACGAATGGTATCAATTGGGTAGGATATTAAACCAGCGGTTACAGTAACTCCATAACCTAGAAGGAAGCTGACTGTAACACCTGCGTCTGCTCCAAGGAAGATCGGTTTCAGCGTATCGTACAGTCCAAAGTAGAATCCTCTATATACGACAATACCGAAGCAAGATATGACAAAGCCTCTGTAGAGGCCAACGATACCATCGGACTTAAAAGTTTTACTACAATATAATGTTAGTCATATTATATATCTTACACATAGACATCAACGAGACCATTGAACTCACGAGTTCCACCTTTCTTTGCTGACTTATTGTCATTAGCTAGACGAGTTCGAGCGTAATCGAGGGAATAGACGAATACTAGCGACATTGCTCCAGCTGCTCCACCACTGACAACATTTTTGTAAAATGAGACCAAGTATGGATCATCCTTATTTTGCTGAAATGCTGACTTAACTTTGTCCTTAAAGGCAAAATTTAACGCTTGCGTAGGGAAGTATCTCAAGCAATTAGGAAAATTTCCTCTCCAAAACGGTAACACACCTGGAACAAAATAATAGCACAAATTAAAAACTTACCCTCAGATCTAAAAGTTCGTACAGTACAATCGATGACACCGGAATATGGTTTATCCAGACGTCCCTGTTTAATCATTTCATCCTGATTCTGAACTAGTAACTTAACGCGCTCGATGGGAGCAGCAGCAGTCTTAGCGATAACAGCAGCCGCACCGCTAAGTAGAAAATTCTCAACGAAACTCAATCCTTTGATCTCTTTGCCACCTTCTCCCATTGTTGCAGCGACTAGAGTATTTCACTTAACAGGGTCCCGCCAAAAGACGTACGAACTGGCGAGTATGAAAGCCGGAGTGAACGATTTAAACAAACTTGCGGTTATATAAAGTCATGGTCTGACCTTGAAATTTCAAGCTTCATGTACTAGAAATAGTGAATTGTTTCCTGCTTGTGTTATATGGAAATTCTTTTTAGAGAATAATATGTGAACTATTTCCTTGACCTTATGTGACATCAATTCATTTATGTGATATGCCACACAGTGAGAGTATTATTAATTGAATGACTGGTTTTTAGTTGAGGATTAAAGAGTACTCCACTAAATTTCTGTTATCGTCTACTGCTTTCTGGCATAAATCAGCAAAAATATAAACGCCAGACTCTCTTGCCAATGATCCTAATGATTAGTGACTAGGGGGAATGCATTCATATGGCTTGCATTTTAACAGGGATACATGGAGTATTGAAAATATGGAAGTGGAGATTCTATTTGTTGTCTTCTAATCTCCCTAAGTGTAAGTTGAGGCTATTCAGCAGTATGAAGCAGCTTTTAGGTCGTTACTCACTGTCTTACCTGGTCATATTAGAATTGACGACAGAGGTCTTCACTAGATATGATACAACCTGATATTTGTATCACAAATTCGCATCTCTAAGAGCTCAGCCACAATGAAGGCAATTATTCACTAGCATAATCAACCTAGTGGATTATTAGGATGTCTGAGGTGCGTGTACCTTACTGTCCTTTTCAATATATCTTCTGATTTACACACTACTAAATTCGAGAAGTACGAGAATTTTAATGAGTATAAGGCTTATGTTAAAGTGGAAGAGAAATATCGAATTCCCGAATACTCTGCTTTGCGTCATGTCCCTTTTCGATATCTCACAGAAACAGAATTCTAATCCTGAATTAGTCATATCATACCATTGACCTATAAAGTCGGTCAGTTAAACCAAAGAGACATTTGTTTTAATATGCTTCACTTTATGAATGAAAATAGAAGTTTCCCTCTGTAACATGGGAATTCAGTCTTTGTCAGAGAATGGAATTAAGATGACTGCCTCGGTATAACTTATTAGTAACAGTCACTCGAAAGTAAGTTGTTTTTACTTTATATTCGAGGTTATACCATAGAACACAAAGATAGGGTTCTAGAAACCCCAAGATTGTCTACTTTTTGCTGTCTCTTTACCTTAATCCATGCTATTTGATTATCACCTAGAATTTAGCCAATTTCATGTACAACTTATTTTCACGTATATAGTGAGCGACTGCGATTCCGCTTTCTCTTGATTTATTCTACATGGCTACTTCATGACGCCTATAAGATTTGTTCCGCAGTGAAATCAGCTTCTTAATGATGGTCTTAAATGTGTTGTCGTAAAAGGTCATTCCTGTTTCAAAGCAATGAGATGATAAAATTAAAATGTGTTTTTAAAAGAGGTTGAGTAATGCTCTGAAGTGAAGGGTACTCCTTTTGTCTTTAGTCTTGGTTTAAGTGAAGCAAACAGTCAAACTGTTAGAAGTCGAAAAGAAATCCATATAAGCTACCTGTTTCCCTCCGTGTATTCAAATTACCTACACAGTGTGGTGACTGAATAATTGTGAAGACAAATACTCACCGAAGACATTGGCTAGGGGTCGCGCTATGTCGTGAATTGGCAGAAGTTGGAATTCATGGGCCATTGGATCGGGTCCCAGTGGCTTAATGGTATACGAGCTCGCCTTGTAACCAGAAAGTCCTGATTTCGAACCCCGGTGGGTTTGTACTGATGAAGAGTCCCAAACTAGGACGAAATAGCTGGCTGTCCAGTACTCCCAAGTTTTCCGATGGTTCTCTAACTAATGTCAGCTCATGATGAAAATCCTGTAACCAATCAAATCCGTACAAACCAACACTTGCATAATAATTTATATCTCGTATAAACGGATATTTACAAGAAATGCATGCCATTTTTACAGGCACAATCAGTTATGTTATAAATTACAATCGTAAAGTATCATGGATTAATACTTTTCAAGAGTTCATACCATTCGATTCTTGTACAGGCAATCAGAACAGGTTATCATAAATGTTAAATTGTAAACCCTTCACTAAGATCACCATCGAAATTGAGCGACAACCCGAACTCCGTTCCATTTTCGTGTGATGATAGTTTCGGGCAGACAATGAACACCGTAGATTTGGGTAAGCGATATGCCTTCACGTGATTAAAGCTATTTTAGGAGAACAACGTCCTGAAAAACTGCGAAACGGCATAAAATACGATTATGCATAATACTTCATTGAAAATACATTTACAAGATATATAGAAGAAGGAGGTGGAGACTCCTTGGAATGATCGTTTACATTTGCAATGTTTAATTCTAACTATATTGGTCTAAGCATGGAAACTACGACGTTTTCGATGAAAATATAGCTTTGCTCAAACAGTGGTGTTGTTGCGTTTTTAATCAAAGCAACCAGACCTCAAGGAAGCAAAAAACATGAACAAAGAGCAAGTTTCAGCTTTAATAAAGGTCTAGGCAGTTAAGATAAAATAGATTATAATAATGCGGGGATAAAAAGTTATTGTGAAGTATATAGGCGACATTCCGGTGACAACAGGCTTCAGAGATCTAAAGGATTAGAACCTGAAGAACATGCTGATCTGTAAGATGTCTCACGGATTACAGTACGGCCGAGTGGGGAAGCATCTTGACTATAAGCTGAACAGGCTTGTAGATGGTGGGAGCAAAATCACTTTTTATAATGTGGACCTGTACAACCCTTATTTTTTGTTAAGGATCTAGAATAATGCTGCCAAAAACTTCATGTTGTTGTCCTACAGATCGAAATGATCCATATTTGTGACCACTACCATATCTGCTGATCAGCATGCGCCACCCTCCCTCCTATTTTTTTTGTTAAGCTCTGAGATTTTTTCTGGCAATAACTGTAATTGCAGCATTGCATTGCTTTGAGGATACATTTACACTGATGAATACAATGAGTGGAATTGATTCAGCAATCTACCCAAGAATGTATCTCCCGCCTTAGAAAAAAACATGGATGTAGCGTTAGGTAGTTCATTTGTTTCACACTGCCAGCGACGTGTCTTGAACCGTTGGATGACCTATACTCCAAATGTGTGTAATTACAATTCCTCTGTGAAAACATCCCCGGCTCTAGAGGTCAGCGATCTTCTAGGGGATCAGAGAAGCTTGTCAAGCCATTCGGGCCCAAGCCGTTTCACAGTCAACGATCAATATGCTTATACTAGCGAACTGAAAAATATGATGGTCTATGTGATTCTGAAGGGAGAATAGTTTAGCAGCTTCGTTGTGGTGTGATTATCTACTTGAACACTCCCGAAGTCATCTTCAAATATATCTTTCAGCCGCAGACGTTATATTCTCCCTTCACTAGTTGGGGCGGTGTTAAGGGCCTACTGGCCACCAGGTTAGAGAAGCAGGGCTAAAGAGCCAGCAGGTAGAGAGGCTACGGTTCATTTCTAGCAGGACTGATAGCCAGAAAACCACCTGAGGGTTATATCCAGATAACACCAAATGGAAGGGGATTCGAGTCCGTGCAAGCAGCCTAACTAATTGGTTCTCTGCAATCTCATGAAGCTTTCATACCTGGGACTCTGAAATCCATCACACTGTGTATGTCTATCTCTACGTGTTGAGCAAATTATAAATCTATTCTATGATGCAGCTCTAGCTGTATATATTAGCTTCGGTTTCAGGCGCCTTTCAGAAAATAATATGTATTCATAAATAGGTTTCGCGTCAAGTAAAATCCGCAGAAGCAATGTTCATCACAGAAATAGGGATACATTTAAGGGCGAAATGGTATAGAAAGTATTACATGTACTTAACAGACACCCAGCAATAACGCAAAAGATATTGCCAGTACCAATGACCAAATTTAGCAGTAATATTCCTCTTTGACAGACTTAGGTAAATCAACTGAACGATGAGCCATCTGCACACTCTCCTTTTTCCCAGAACCCTAACGAAAACTATGAAGGCTTTACCCACCGAACCCTCAATTTACCGGTCAGTCTATCATCTAACTATCATTTAACCTTAGCTGAAACATTCCGTCATCTCCTTCACTTTGTCTCAGCCCCTACCAATGATCAAACATCATTTACTTCTTTCCTTATAAACGCTCGTTCTATCTATCATTATTATTAGTCTACATTGTGATTAATTCACTTGTGATGTTACGATGAAAATGCTGACAAAAGTATACAAGTGTATCACTTATTTTAAATTATTATCAAATTTGGATATAAATCAAGAATAAGACTCGATGCCGTACACACCAAAGTTATTTGGAGGAATTACTTCAAGCTTTATTTTTTTCCCAAGTATTTGTAATCCATCCGAAATATATTTGGGTTTTTTGTTATCATATTGTTCCCACAAACCAAAGACAAAAACGACTGCAACCACATAATTTAACCATAAACCAAACTTATGTAATTGAAAGAATACTTATCCATGCCTGTACAATTGGTGTGTCCTACACAGGTAGGAAAAATATGTATTTTATCAAATTATTATTTAAAATGCTTACTAATCGTATATGTAATTAACCACATTGGTGATGACTGTAAACTGGTGTCCCTCATGTACAAAATGAGAATATATTATTATTATCTGTGATAAAATTTCTTACCCTCACTCCTTACTTTCACTTTGTATGCTTTCAGTATTGTTGGTCACCGAAACCTAGTTACCTTTTCACTTCAATGACAGACTGTTAAATCTCCAGGATACACACTTTAGACATGACAGAGAAGCAGTGTGTGGTGGTGGTTGTATTCGTTTTGTTAGTTACTAATTCTATGCTGCAGGAGCTGGTGATTTAGGTTTTTCACAGTGTCGGTTATATTAATAATAATAATAAATTTTTATTTCTGGAACAGAAACCAGCCATTTTTACAGGCATGAACATATGTACACTAATTAGAACTCATAGAATATATATGATTTGTTAA